AGTTGCTGGCGATGAACCCACAACATATGTAAAATTAGTAAATTAAGTTAATCTTGAACCTGATTTTTCTGATGTAGTTAAGACAAAGCAATTAGAAAGCTGGTCTGAAGTTCTACTAACAGGAGATCGTCTGGATTTCAACATGTGCTACTATTAAAAAAAATTTTAAGGCACAATACTACAGCAAGGCATTTGGTAGTACTATTCAGTTTTCAAAGACAGCTTATCTGCCATTTGCACTATAGCTACAGAGGAGTGCTGCTCAACAGAAATTACTCTTCCAGTCATGATGGGCAGTATGAATTACAACCCTGACTACCCCACAGGTCCTCCCTTGCTGGCAGGAGGAAAGCAGCTGGCAGATGGTTGGATACATTACCAACATTTTGGCAAAGACTGTGTGAGACTTGTGAAAGAGCCCTCGAGGGAGAAAACAAGCAGCTGATTACGGGTTGATCACTCACAGAAATACCTCATGTCAGCATGAGTTGCAGCTCAAAAAGTGAGTCTACTTGGGAATAGGGTGAAAGTCACTATCCAAAACACTGTCCCGAAGATGATATAGTAATTCAGACCTTGATTCTAAAGATACTTTTCTTACCTCATTCCCTGTTGACATGACTGCAACCACTGGAAACTTGTTAACTTCTACTTCAGTTACTCCAACAGTTGCTAAGAGACCAATCTCAGATGGACCCATGTGGGTTCCTTTAGCCAGCACACATTCACCTCTTTTAATGTCATGTCCTATAGGTCTGAAAATCATAGCACAGAAAAAAACGAAAGAAAAACAGAATCAGATTTAAAGTATCTTTCCTTGATTAGTCCTGCTCCAGGTAAGGAGTGTCCAGGGATGTTCATTAGTCAGATTGTCAAAATGTCAGTACTACTTAAGGTTAAAAAATGACTATAAAAATCACCGGCCCTTCTATTCCTTACAGAGATTATTTTACTGTTTATAAAGTAGGCTGTTTACAGACCTGATATCTTGGCCTGGTCGAGCCTGCACCAGGATTCGAACCTCTAGTTCTTCAGTGCCCTACAAAAACAAGGAGATCAAATACGGTCAGCTGGGTTATTCAAAGAAGATTAATCAGCTTTAATTTCTCAGAAGTCTACACAGCTTACATTACTCATTACACTGAGACCTTATGGTTTAAGCATCATCATTGTTCCCCTGATCTGGAAGGACCAGCACTGAATACAGTTTTGCCTTCCTTTTTTTATGATCCCTGTGTTTATATACCTTTCCTATGTTACGTCCTATGTTTGTCTGTTGATCTGGTATACTGAGTGGATTCTTTCTACTCCTCTCAGCCAACTGGATCTGCTCGAACATTTTCAAAGATGGCATTTCAAAAAGACCATGAGTCAGACAGGCAATATGCCACTACATCCGCAGAAAGGTGGGAAGAAGCTATGTGCTCTAGCTGTTCAGGATTTTCATGTAGATTCCTATAGTGGAAACTCCTACTTGAGAGCCTTGTACAAATCAGAAAGAGGCTTATTCATCATGTTTATTTACTGTGAAGAAGAGACAGCGGCCTGAAAAGTCTGATGCCTACTTTAATATTTGTGTTGACCTCTTCAGAATTTCAATGGTTTGGTGATTCATTCAATGCCAATAAATGGCACGTGACTTATACTGTTAATATTTAATTTATAAGATCTGCAAGTGGGTTGATGATATATACACTCAGCTTTGAGATACTGCCAGCTTGTCAGTAGCACTAAATCTACGCTTACTTAGACTGGAACAGATTTAGTTTTTACATTATCATGTAGTGCTTCATACTTTACGTACCTCAAAGTTATAAATCAGACACTAATACTACAAGACAAACAGGGCACGTCATTGTCATTTGGAAGTTTTACAGGAACAATAGTGTTGTATAGGACACTGGGACTTGTCTCTTTTCTTAAAGGTGATATGGACTGCATTTTCTGAGTTCAAACTAAGTGCTTTAAACTAAAGGCCCCAAAGTTAAAGTTAATGAACATGTTGTTACAGACTGTGATTCTGTTTACCTATTGTGAAAATGGATAAATTTAAACGCCTGAAAACCAGGAAATGACTAACAAAAACATCAACCCTGAAAAAAAAGATTTCTTACTTTACCACAGTATTTTCAAAATATGCTTTTAATGCAAATTCTGTTTCTTTTACACCTGCTCCTCTTGTATAAGAGAAGAGACTATTTTTGGCTGCTAGTGTCCAAAATGGCTCTGCTGGTGCCCAGGATGTCCTTTTATCTCTGTTATCCCCATCTGAAGCTGTAGAAGACACTTTAGGCTTGTGATAAAAATCTGGGGCAACAGTTAGTCTAAGAATTATTTTATTTTTATGGCACTCTGGGGATGGTTGGCCAGTCATGAAGATTTGAATTTTCCATATCTTTGATAACATTTAAAGATAGCTAGGAAGTTTCTAGGGAATCAAGAGGAGTGCCAATGATACATTTGAGTAATAGAAAAGGTCCTATTTAGGACTCCCGGATCAGGGGAAACAAGAAAAAAAAGGTTTTTGAGGAATTTAGTAATTCCCACACTGTGGGAAGTGTGACTGTGGACAACATGGTGATGTGCAGAGACTTTTATTTATGGAACTGATGGATATCCCAGAATGCTTTAGGAATACAAGACAATTCAAGGTGGCTAGAGGTAGGGCTTGCAGGAAGGTATGGCATTATGCTGAGAACATTTTCCATTTGGTGTGTATCAGGCAGCATTTTTCTTGCTGTGTATTAATATATTTTGATCTATGTCCGAGTGGTTTACTCTGATGGTTGTTAACAGCCAGCATCCATACTGATATACTGATGCTCAGTCTTGATGTAGGATCTGACTCTTGTTTTGGTTGATCACATTGGCCTCCTTTTTCCTACAAGGTGACATAAAAACTCAAAATGAAAAGGGTGTAGACATGTTTTTGCAAGGATCTTTCTCAATGATTGTGCATTTGGCAAGCTGATGAGAATTCTTCTTCCTGCTGGACAGATGTAATTCCTTTCAGGCCTGTGACTTTTACAGTCATTTGGGGAATGCTCGCTATGGTATTTAAGTACTGCTACCACAACTAGAGGTCAAGGAGCTCCTTTTAAAAGTACTCTCTGTTTTTTCAGAAGAACACCTTTCAGATAGTAGAGATTTCATTTCAGTTAAATCTCAGCCCTGAAGGAGTTCTTCACACTAAAAAGAAAAATATTATTGAAATATGTAGCCACCCAGGCACGAAGAAGGAGAGAAAAATAACATCTTAATTAAACTATGCTAATTATTTATGTACAGGATTAGCAGAGTGGCATATTCAAGGACAAGTAGAAACTAGAGTTCTACCTCACACTTATAGGCAGGAAAAGGAAGCTAAAGGTGGCTGACGATTTGCTAAAAATTTGCTAAAAAATTCAGAGTTTAAGCACGTAGCCAAATAATCTGTTCTCGCTGCAGAGGAGAACATGCACAGAAGAAGTGGAATCCAGGAAGACAGTCATCCAAAGAAGAAGCAGAAAATAACAGGTTATCATGTATGTTGCTCTGCAATGGGATAGTCCTCTCATGATGAGGTGGGCAATAGCCACAGAAAACTTGCTCAGTAAGGCTAATGGAATGATTAACAAGGAGTGAAGGCAATGGTGTATTTTATGGAAAGACATAATCTACACATACACATCTGTAACTTCAAAGCAGGACTGACTCAATAAATTCTCTGTTAGGAAGAAGGCCAGCCTAGACAGCTTGCTGACTTCATCAGATGTAAAAATCTATGCATTTACAGTAATAAGGCATGAGAAAGGATCATGAGAGTATGCTTCAGTTTTTGCTGTCTTCATCAGCTTTGAACAGGAGAATTCATCTGCTTACACCCTAGCTGCAATCGCAATGCTAGCATAGAGCTATGGCGAAGTGGAACAGCTTGTCAGAACAGCAGCAGAGGAGCAAAGGCTGATTTGAGCAGAGAACCATGCACACACTTCATTCCAAAACTGAACTTGGAAGTTGTGTCAATAAGCGACATACCTTCTTGCCCTAAAATCTGTCAGATGATGGCAAACATGACGATGGTGTCCTGAAATCACAGCTGGGTAAGTGAAGGTAATGATTCAAAAGGAATTCTCTGAACACAAAGGAAGTCTAAGATGGACTGTTTGGGATACAGTTGTCTACAGACAGCTCCTGTGCTTCATCAAAAAACACATTTTACTCTGTTAAGAAAACTGTGTGTACGGAATTAGTACTACAGTACTCATATTTTTTCTGTGGTATTTTGCAGCATCTGTAAGGTACAGCGTTAATATGATTTATGCTGGAAAATCTGTTCAAATTAAACAGAGTTAAGACTATGTTCTGGGGGAATATGCACCTTGTCCATTTCCTGGTTTTCAGAGGTCTTAAATTCAGTAATTTTCTCATTTTAAAGGAGCACAGAGGTCTATTGGAGAAACTTAGTTATGGTTTAAAAAAATTTGGGGGCACTTACTTCCCTTGTTACATAATAAAAGCCCTTGTTCTAAACATATGTGTTTATTGCAAGGTATGTGGACAAGACATTGTCCAAAATCCACCAAATTCACCTTTGCTGAAATGAGACCAACTCTGATAATACAGAACCATCTTCATAGCATAGTTCAAAATAATCCAAGTCATCCCACGGATTTTGCAGCACTTAAAACAGTTCACTTTCCCACAGAGAATCATATTCAGCTTTACATCAGCGGTAATGCTGCACTGCAATATTTCAATGTATTATTCTGGGATCAATGTGTATTTTAAGAAAACTTTTCCCCTTCTTACTGGGTGAGTTTAGGAGAACTTTTAAAGTCCTAATCTTGCTGAGTTTCAGGATGATCCTGAAATATAAAGAAGATTGCTCTACTGCTAAATGTGAACTCAGTAGAAAAGAAGGAAATATAATGTCTGATTGCCACTACTTTGTATTTTAAAATGTGAATACACTAGGCACTCAAATTGGACTGCAGTTATGGATCTCCAGGAGGCATTTGCCTTTCACTCAAACCATGCTCCCAAATACTTTGGTGTCAGCATTCAACAACTGTGATGAAAAATCAATGTCAGGACAGGTAGGTCTGTGGTACTGTTATCACAGCCTGAAAAAGTGAGTAGAATTGCCACTAGGAACTGATGTGAAAATCCTCAAACTTCTGAGATTAACCGAAGACCTTTTCTGTAGGACTGTCTTTCATACTTACAGGATTGTATCATGAGCGATTTTCTGCTGCACACAAAAAAAGAAAAGAGTTTTAACTTGTGACTCACATCATCCGATTCCCTGATGAGCTCTGTATCTTCCACTTGCACCACTGCATCAGCACCACATGGAATTGGAGCACCAGTTGTAACACGCATTACCTGACCCGGCATCACAGTCTGAGTTGGCTGAAAAATAAACAAACAAAAATTAATTTACTTTTGAAAAGAAAAATCTCAGACCATTTGAACTTTATGGAAGTAATCTGAAAGACTAGAATTCTTATTTGTGGCATGACTCGATATACTGCTAGTGATATCAACAGGTATAAACTCCAATGTATTTAAAGATCATTAGGTCATTGCTTCAGATCTGGATTTTTTTATATGGTCCCATATTAGGTGGCTTCAGATTTCTCCCCTTAGATTTCTATCACAAGAATAACTTTCAGAAGAAGCAATATATGGATACTCTGGTTGGCTCAGAAAAATAACTGGCTCAGAAATATAAGTTAGATGGTGACCTTCTAGAAACTTACATGAGCAAAAAATCGAGTAGTTCTCTGTACACAAATATTTTTGCAGAGTACTCTGGTCCCCAGCATTGAAATTTGCTTTGGTTTGGTTGGGTTTTTGTTCTGTTTTGTTTTACCAGCACACTATATATGGAAAACCAGCAGCTTGTAAGTAAAGTAATATAATCAGCTGCTTCATTTTTAAGCAGATTTCCTCATACTGAGAGACAGCTCAACACTAGTTCACACAGAATATCTATCTTTGTGAGGGGCAGTTTAGCAAAGCCTAAAATTGATAATATTCTACAATTATGTAAAGTCACAGTACATTACAAAGTTTCAGCAGAAGCAATACAAAGAATAGAAAAATATCAGAACAACACGATAGAACAAATGACATGGTTTTAATAAAATTTCTCACCAGGCAGCCTATTTTAATACACATTTTTCAAAGTCCAGAGTAAAACTGCAATTTGACCATAACCACTTAAGAAATAAAAAACTAAAAGAAAAATCTTTCTTAAAAAATGCAACTAAAAGAAGCTGGTATGATGATTGAGATGTCATTGCTGGAATATGAGTGCTTGCTCCCCGCAGCACTTTAGTAAGCCCAACTTATTTAGGCTTTGCTGTTATTAGTGAACGTGTGCTACACACAGATCTACACAGCTGTGATCAGACCAACATATTCTGTACGTGTCACACGCATAATTCATGTGCAGATTGACTCCGTATTCCATATGCAGCATTGGAATATGTCCAGGACTTCTCAGACTGTGATTAGCACGTATTTGATAGCCACCCACAGACCTGCAAGCAGTACTGCCCGAGCACTATTACCTGCTGACGCCCAGCAGTCATTTACTCCATGACTTCTGACAGGAGGCTGTTAGACGTCTATCTGCAAATTCTAGACCGGAGGCCAACGTTTCAGCTGCGCAAAGCTCTGTTTGCCTTGCCCATTCTTCTACTCCATTTCAGCACTGTCATAACCTCTGAAATGTGAGTATTACTTCGAAATGTGTATATTTCAAAGGTTGCTCGTTGGGACAGAAGCCCTAGGGAGAGGCTGGAAAGGGTTTGCACCTGGTTTACCACAGTATCACAGTGACCTATGTATCCCAAGAAACAACTGAGCCTGGAGTTGATTGAATCCTGATCCTTTTCTAAGGGTAACGGAAATATAACATCCTTTGAGAAGAACATAAATAAAATGCTAAAACAAACTGAAAAAAAGATCACACTTGCCAGATGTCATGGTTAGTGTGTTTTTAGGGCAAGATTCATGTTATCCTAAAGTAGGTATCTAAAACAGATGACATAAAAATAATACTTCTTTTTTAAAATGGTATTTATTTCTCACCACTGACTATGCAAGGAGCTGTGGATGAATAGCTGATATGCTGCCATTTATACTGAAGATGCTTAAAAGTGAAAATAATCTTGTCTAGTGTGTTAGTCTGATTTTTATGAAAACAAGTATTACAAAAGGCAAAGCTTATGCCTTGGATTATGGGAGCTCTTTTGCATATTGTTGTAGATATAGTCTATAGGCACATTACAAATAGGTAATATTGTTTTGAACTTTATTTATGTCTATGTATTTATTTCTGTTAATTTACATATTTATGTCATTAGTGACAATTTTTAGAGGAAAAATGTATTGCATAAAAAAATTCTCCCATTTAAAATGTGTTTTTTGGGCGACAAGAACCACAAAGAATACAAAATGTCTAGGACCCTGCCAGGAATCAGTGCCTATGGTGATAAAATACGCTGTAACTATCCATGCTTTTGGAGCTTATTACAAGATATGTTAATTTTTTGAGGTGTAATGATGTGAAACATTTAAACAAATTCATGATACAATAACAATCGCTTTTAGAATTGGTTGCTCATATATTTAATTTCCTTTTTGTCCTTTGAGAATTTGATCAGATTAACTTTATGAACACAAGTCAACCATCAGATTTGTGTGTGAATCTCCAGGGCTGTGTTCTTCTGTGCTAGAGACTATGAAGATAAAGAAATGATTCCTTTTCAGAAAGCATATTAATGTACAACAATTTCACAGAAGCTCTTTTAAAGGCCTTTGAGATCTCACACTTACCTGGAATAGGGCAGTACTGGCTTCTGTCCTTTGCCTTCATCACTGACAATCTATTTAATGTTAGTCGCTGAATAAAAACCAAAAATAATCTATCATTGAGCACAGCCCCCATCTCAGGCATTTTCTCTTGCACATGATTACACCTTTCCTGCATGATTTACAATGACCCATGCTCCTTTCTGTAAAAAGGCCCAAGTTAATGGAAAGGTGAAAAACGTCTGTTTTCCCTCCTATATTATAGCTGGTTAGTCACAGTACCTCTTACAAACGTCTTTAGAAAGTTTTCCAGGAAATGCTAAGCTCCAGCTATGCAAGTCTATAGGAAGAAAATCATTGCTCCCCATGGTTGAGTTTTTCACACAGAGGCCATGTGGATGGCTCATAACGAGTACTCTCAATGTGCCCTAGCCTCCCCAAAGCAGGATAGTGTCTGAAAGTTTTCCTCAATACAAAATAAATAATGGTTGTTAACATAAACACGACCATCTGGAAATGGAATCGGAAAATAATACACAATTTACAAATTGATACAGAAATGTCCAACTTGGCTATACGGCCTCTCTGCAATTCTCGGTCCCATTTTCTTCCTCGCTGCGTAGCTTT